AGAAGCAGTAGCGTCGCTGATCTTCCTTGTTCTCAGAAGCCATTGAATGCATCGTCTCGCGCTTAATCACACTTATACGCGGCGAGCCATGCAATGACTTCCGGTACTCCCCGTCCTGCTGGGATCCATTAGCAGTCGTTGGGGGTTTCGAGTGCGCATCAGTAGAGTAGGCGGAGCGCACCATCAAGTCATGGTCAGAGGACTCGTCGTTGGAATCAGTCTGTGATCCTAAACGGCTCGGCCGCCTACTTGTCCTTGAGATACGCTTTTCACGGCCCGTAGCGCCCTGGCCAGACTGAGAACCAGTGCTGTGCAAACGACTGGACTCTCCGCTGACGGCAGAACTAGAGCTGGGAAACCAGTTGTGCCGGGGACTCTCGCCAGCACCGTTACGTCGGGCAACAAGCTTCGGTATGCCAGGTCTACTGGAGGCTTGCTGCTGAAGCATGCCTGGTTCTGGCGAACCGCCAGAGCGTGGAGTCGTCTTGTCCCGGGAGGTGTACATGCTGTCTCGGGAATGTCGGGGTTCAACCAATAAGTCATCGACGGACTGATCGTTCATAGCATAAGAAAGACCGCTGCTTATATTTGCCATGCTGATTGCTTCATTGTCCGAAGAGACAAACGGAGAACATCCAGACTCGTAACCGTGTAGAAGTCTTCAAATAAAAATAAAAAGTTTGAGTCAGACAGCAAATGAGTAGGCGAAACAACACACGGGAATGCAACTTTGGCTCCCACGATGCCTGGACAGTCGGCATTATTCACGTGTCAGGCAAAAACCTGCGTGACGCTAGCTAAAGCAAAGTGGGCGTTTGTACTGGGATTTTTTAGCTAGGCTAAGCGCAAAGGAAGAAAAGTAACAGCGGTTGACTTAGGCTGTCTAAGTGTGCTTTCTTTAGTCAGAAGCTGAACGAAATGACCAGCTCGCTAGAGATGCGAGTGAGAAATAAACCGCAATAACTCAGGGCACAGTCTATTGGACAGACGAAAAGGAACTGCACGTGGAGAAACGCATATAGTGGTCTTTAAACACGATAGAACACCACTAACTGCGAGTAGACATCATTTGGGAAGATATCCACTGGATCACCAAAGCCACTAGAAGTTAAGTAATTTGCACAGGTAAAACTGACGTAAGAGTACTGGTCAAACACGCTGCTCTACGAGGAAATTGGTCGTTTTTTGTACCCAGGGGAGTCGACAGCACTCTATTCCTCTCTGTTCTCCGAACTTACAAGTCACGTATATAAGTTAGGAGTCATAACTATTCCCCATTCCCTTCTTCGAGTCTAAAAAGTGCTCATAAGCTTGTGTTTGTGCTGGGGTTGGTTGACGGATTATGACTCCTCCCGAAAAATATTCTGTGCGATTCGCCCGGGGGACTGTTTGGTGATTGGGTATTTAGTCAATTTGACAGATGTAAATTTATCTGCCTACCCAATGACTGTAGCCTTCAATATAAAACTTTCCCGTTGTTTTCCGTTGATGACCACAGGTCATCAACAAATTGCTTGGTGGACAAACGTGTTGATAAAAATGCTCACTCTACCAGAGAAGGGAATTATTTTCCTATTTTAAAAGATCGTATAGATAAGTGTTCAAGTCATACGCAATCAAGTTGAACGTTTGCCCTCAGACCTCACTGCATCCTTGCAATACCTGTCAAAAAAAGTTTTCAACTTTCGATGGCTATTTCGATGGCATTGGCATGCTCAATTCACAGGGCACATTCGCCGCCTAAACATTCTAAGGCGCTAGTCGGTTACGAAATATGCCGATAGGAATTTTCCGCAACTTCATCAGCCAGTTCGCATACGCAATACTGTTTCAATATGTACGGTTAAATCAATGTTTTCTTCGAGTGTTTTTAGACAGGTTAACTAGAATTCTGACCACCCGACACGACTGGTTTTTTAGAACTGGGATTAGGTCTAATCTTGGGCTTGAAATAAAACCTATTCTGTCTCCTTCATCAAAGGGTGACTAATTAAATGTATCGAGCACATGACATAAAGGCCCGTACAAAAAGCAACTGAATCACTGCCAAGCGTATTAACAGAGCCAGAGATACTAACTACACAAGATATGAACACACCTGTGTGAATCACGTCCGGGAACATCCGAAGAATTCCCAGGCTTTTGGGGAGTTCCAAGTGTACGACTCCGTTTAGTGGAATCGACTGTCGGGAAAATCATTCAAAACATTCAGTACTTGTAACAAAACACTTCTGAAAAGTGTCATAAACTCAAAAAGTAGGCTGTACTGCAATAAAAAGCACAACCTGACTCCACATCAAAAGCTACATTTAAGGAGAACGTTTGACTTTCGGCAATAACAAGACGAAAACCAGAAAAAAACGTAAGAATATTACTATGTCTGTGATCACGACTAATTTGGCCGGCCTCGCTGATGTCGCGGATAGTAGGTCTCCATGCTTTGTGAGCTGTAGCAGTGGAGCCGGGGGAGGCTTCCATTATAGTGGCCCGATAACACTGGACAAAGAAATATCGAGTCCCAATGGACTGTGCCGAACCATTTTTCAGCTGAACTCTTTGGCAGAGCAAGAACGCGTCCAAACCGCCTCAGGCACCTTGGACGGCATAAAATATCCTCATGAGGTCTTAGCGAGCGCACAAATAGTTGAGACGAGGTCGGTGTGCTTCGTTAA